CATCCTGCACTTGCCATTGTGTTTGGTGATGTAAGGCGTGCATGCTGCTCCTCAACCATGGAAACCCATGCCCTGAAACTCCAGGCATGCTGTGTTTGTGCTGATATTCATGACAGAAGAGGTTCAACCCTTTGAAGCCATGTGACTGAGTACAGCAACTTTACAGGGTCTAACTGTATGTGGCTGAGTTGCTGTGGGTCCCAAACACTTCCACTTTGAAGTCATATTGCTTACAGTTCAAAAAATGACTCATTGCAGCAATCTAACCCTAACAAAAACAGGTGAGCTCTTTAGAATCAGCTCACTCTTTCACAAATATTTGTAAGGGGAGAATGTGTGGCTAGGAGCTACATCTTATACACCTGTGCAAAACGGACTGAAAACACCTAAAGTCAAAGAATAAGTGGTATGGTCTAAAACTTTCATCCATATAGTGATACTAATAAAGCACATGTGCTAAGTAGAGAAAGTGAAACTAGTGACTAAACATCTTGCCAGGTTTTTGTTTTGTTAATTTATTTATTTTTGATTACATCCCTACATTTATTTTTCAATATTCTTTAAATCTTTATTTAATTAGGAAGTGACGCTCCTGGGAAAACAAATCTCTGTTGCAAGAGTCTCCTGGCCAAAGATAGGCAGGATAACCCAAGCATATTATTTGAATCAACTTCCATTGCTAGTTTGAAATGTGCAACCTAAGCCAACACACAGTTCTGACACTGACATTTTTTTCAGCACATATCTTCTTATTTGCTTTTGACCATTTATGGACCATGTTTCTTCACATGCCAGCTTACTGCCAATACTGTTATTAATTGTTCCAGCTGTAAATTTACATTTATTGAAGTACATAACTGAAGCACAATTTTAATATACTTGCACTTTAAGTATCTCTGTGTTTTGCTACTGTCTATGTCCACTCCTCTATATTTGAATGCAAATATTGTACTTATTAGCACTCCACACCATGTATTTTAAACATTTTGGTTCTGATGCACCATCTGTGCTGCACCATTACAGCTAAAGCTACCCAGCAGTATAACACCAATTAAACCAATCATCTCAAGTTCCAATATTTAACCCATAAACACAGTAATCAATCTTTTTATTATTATATTATGTGCTTGATTTTGCCAAACTTTCACTTCAGGTTATTTGCGTATATTATCCTAAAAAGTTATAATCCTATTTAACAAAGTTAAGTAAAAGGTCTAACTTTTTATTTTATTAATTTATAAAACAGTTATTAAATACAAAATAATTTTCAGGCTCTTGTGCAGCACCATTGTTCATGTATTAGCCATCTAATTCATCTGTATTAGTCCAAAGGGCTAAACATGTACCTCAAAATTGTAGCCAGTTTACTGTGAAGTATTTTTCTGATCAAATATTCTGATTTTCTGTGTGCCCCCTGCTTTGTTCTAAGTTCCCCCAGTACCACACCATTAAAAACACACCAACACACCAAGACCTCACTCCAAACTGACATTGGGGATCAGCTTCCACTTTCATCACAGATGGCAGAGGTGAGGAAAGGAGAAGAAGAAACTGAACTCCAAGCCACAGCCCATCTGAAACGTAATGTTACCCCCACGCTGCAAGGCGTGCCTGACATCATGCTTGACACAGAGCCACTGACAACACAGCTGATAGAAACCGGTCTGGAGGAGAATCCGTTCAAACCGGAGTTGTGTGCATGGAGGCTGGGTGGAGTTTCACTCAAAATATTTCAAAGCGAATTACCGGTTTGATCCGAAAGCAGGCAAAGGAGGGAAAAGCGCGACAGCAACCAAACACTTTAAACAAGCTGGCCATCCCATCATTCACATGTGAAAGTGACGTATCGAAAACAGGTGATGGCAGAGATTATAGCAGCTTGACAAGTTCTCTTCATTCAGCAAGAATGAGCTTTGTAACACCTGTTGAATGACAAACAGCAAACATTTTGGCTAAAAATGCTGTTAGCAGGTACCGTGTTCGCTCTAAATCTCCACTCTCCCGAGCGTGAGTGCTTATTAGACACTCCTGCGGATTTACAAAGGTGAACGACCGCAGCCGTGCAGGGCTGGCTTACCTGAGTTTTAGGTTAGCCATGAATTCTTCCATAGACACGTTGTCCAAAAGCACAAAGTCTGCTTTTCCAAACTCCAGGCTCTCGTGTTCTGCCATACTGTTATTTTTTTTCTTCTTACTGAAACTCCTGGAAAATAAAATGTGTCAACAAGTTGCTCTGAAGTGCCGACAAAGGGTGGACATTGGCGGGCTTCCCTGACCACCTCCTCTACTTTAATGTGCAGCTCTGTAGTCGGTGCTCATTTTTTCCTTTCCTTTTTTTTTTTTTTTTGGTCAAATTCTAATTTTAGTCATGTTTAATTGAGGTCGGAAATTCCCTTTAAAAAACCAGCAGCTGCTAATTCTGAACGTTTTAACACGCCGTTTCCCTTCAGGAGCTCCGCTTTTCTTTTAACAAGCAGGAATTATTCCAAAATATCCTCATGTCCATACAAAGTTTCGTCTTTACGCCGAAAGGTACCGTCCCGTTACACCGTGCGCCAGCTCCCCCTGTCCGTCCGTCCTTTTTCCTGGAGTTTCTCTCCTGTCCCTCCTGAACGACCGTACACCAATAGGATTGAAGCATCCTCGTCTAAGCCCCGCCCCCGCCCTGTGGAGAGGTGTTGGTCAGGCAGCGATGTGTAAGTTGAAAAGCATTGCAAATATTTCTGTAGACCACCGCTCCACCAGTTTCTGATACATATTTCAGCAATGACGACGCCACCTCTAAGCTGTTAAACACTCGGAGGAAAACCATAATGTTTTTGGCCTCACTTTAATGATGCCCTCTTTTACCATAAAAGGGAAAACTGGGTCTCAGTAAGATTTTCTCAAGATGATATGAATGAAAAGCAGACGTACAGTTATGTAGACAACGAGTCATTCACTGGATTAACTATCAAATAACCTGTGATAAATAAAACATTATTTTTTTAGGTTTTCCCTCCTATGCTGTATCTTAACGTTGCCTCCTGAATGAAACCTGTAAAAGAAGCTGAACACTTTAAGTGCCGCCGGCTTCTCACTAGGCTTACTCTGATATTAGTGCGCCACCTTGTGTAAAACAGACGTAAATGGCTTTTAATGACGCTTATGACTGAAAACTCCACCCTGACAAACAGCAGTGTTGCTCTAATCGTATTAACTTACATGCTTATATTGTAAAATATCATCTATTATGTGATTTTATTGAGATAAATTTTTTTTATCTCAGGATAAAAAAAATATTCAGGATAAAAAATTTAACCCGAATAAATAAATGATTAAAAAAATACATTTGTTCTGTCATTACAATACATCATAAATCAATTAATTTAGGACATAAATGACTGGATGACGTTTTATTTCCTACTTCTATATTTGGCCCTAAAATCCTTGGCCTCCAACAGCTCTATGGGTAGTAATCTTGGAGTCATTTTTGATCAGTATATGCCAAAAATATTTTTAATAAATATGTAGAATTTCAGCACCGTGGCACGGTGGTTAGCACTGTTGCCGCACAGCAAGAAGGTCCTGAGTTCAATTCCACCATCAGGCCGGGGTCTTTCTGTGTGGAGTTTGCATGTTCTCC